GGGTCCCAGCACGGCGTGATGGGCTGGATCAGCTCGCTCTCTTGGAGGGCGTCCAGCTCGGCCTCGGTCCTGAAGATCAGCTCGTCGGCGTTGTCGAGGTACCTCCGCCTTCAGTCCCAAGGCAGCCACGGGGCCCCTGGGGGCGGCGGCCATGAAGAAGTACCTCGAGGAAGTCGGGGTCGTACGGCTTCAGGTTCATCGGCGGCCCCGAGTGCAGGTCGTGGCTCTTGATGAGGTCGGCGCGGGCGTTAGCGGGCAGGATGTCGGGCCGTTCTCCGTAGTTCTCGATGCGCCGGCTGATGCGCGTGATAATTGAGCGCTGCGTCTCCGTGAGGCGCAAGCTCGAGGAAGGCCGGCGCGCCCGAAGGGCGCGCGATGGGGCGTCGAGGGCGTTCAGTGACCAGATCGCCTCGCGCGCGCACCGCACTCGCGACCGCGATGCAGGCCCAGCATGGCCGCCACGCGCGAACACCTCCCCAGACAGCGGGAGGGGGGAGGGGCGTCCGCGACTGTGACCCTGGATGGCGCGGTAGTCCTTAGCGGGATCCGGGCGGGGGCCGCCGCCAGCATCGTCGGACCGCCAAGCTCGCCCGCGCCGTAGCTCACGTCGGGGCGCCCACCGCCCAGGCAGTCGCCCACGAGGAACGTCAGCACGAAGAAGGCGACAAGAGGGGCGCCCAGGCACCAAGCGCTGTCGAGGCAGGCGTCGCCAGAGAACCTGCCCCGTTGACCCGGGCGCCCAGGGGCCCAAGGCCCCTACTCGGCGGAGGGGCTGGAGCCCTTGCCGCCCCCGCGGCCTGGGCCCTTGCCGCCCTTGCCGTTGCGCTTGGAGCGGTCGAAGCCGTGCTCCTCGCTCCAGAGCCGCTCCTGCTTTATGATCTGCGCCTCGTCGCGGCGGAGCGAGGAGACCCACTTGGAGAAGGCCGGCAGCTGCACGCGCCCGTCCTCGGCCATCGGCGCCGCGAAGATGCCGTCGAGGTTCGTGAAGTCTGGGGCCTTGGGGCCCCTCCTGACCGCCGACTCCACCTCGAAGACCCAGCGAGCGAGGTGCTCGATGACCGCGCAGTTGGCGAAGTCGAGCTGGTCGTAGCTGACGGCCTGGTCGAGGCCCTCGCAGATGCGGCGGTGCGTTCTGCAGACGCCCGACGCGGGGCTGACCCCCGACTTCGCCCTCCAGTCGAGGTGGTGCGCGATGAACACGATCCCCGCCGCAACGAGCGCCATGACGAGCTCCGGGGCGCAGGCGTCGCCGCGAATTGGCCAGCCAGGCCGAAGGGCCTTGCTGCTGGCCCTTGCCGCGGCGGCCAAGGAGAGCACCGGCGCCCCGTTGACGCGCTCGTCGCCCAGGATGCGCCTGTCGCGGCCGGCGCCCGTCGACTTGAGGAGCCGCCAAGTTGTCGAGGTCCTCGTCGAGCACCCTCTCGACTGCGACCCAGTCCTCGTCCACGCAGGCGAGGCCGTGGTCGCCCCGAATGACGAGGCTGTCCCCGTCGGCGAGGGCCGCCGCTGGGAGCGCGTCGCCGAGGCCCGCGTGGGCCGGGTCGGCGACCAGCCATGGCATCGCCCGCCCTCCGGCTGCGCGCCCGCGCCACCGGTGAGCCCGTAGACGGCGAGCAGCTCCTTCGCCTCCCTGCGGATCTGCTGGAGCTCCTCGGGCGTCAGAGGGTCGAAGGCGTAGACCTCGCCCCTGACTCGCCGCGGGAACTCCGAGTCCCGCGTGAGCGGGATCACGCGGTGCGACGTGACGTCGATGAACTGGATGCTCAGATCCGGCGTCGAACAGATCCACTGCCCAGGGTTCGGCGTGGCCAGCACCAGCAACCGCATGTGCCATCGGAGCCCGTTGGGGTCGTCGAAGAAGTCCACCAATATCTGACGTTCTGGCACGTCGAGCGTTCACGCTGCCATGCCGCCTCCTCAGTGAGGAGGGTGTCGCCTCCGAGAGCCCCGCAGGGCCCCGCAGGGCCCCGCAGGGGCGACGGCGGGGGCCGGCGGCTCGTCCGCCAGGGCCGGGGCCGAGGGCGCTTCGGCCGGACGCGCTCGGGGAGCCGCAAGGGCCCAGGCGGAGGCCACTGCCGCCCGCCAGGCGACTCGGGCGAGCACGCTGAGGAGCACGCCCGCGAGGAGGCCGAGCAGGAAAAGCCACCAGCCTCCGGCCCAGCCCGTGCACGGCGCCGGCTCCGGGCACGGCCCGGCGGGCGGCGCCTGAGGGCCCCGCGGGGCGACCGGCACCTCAGGGGGCGCGGCCACCGAGAAGGCCCCCACGGGGCAGGCCGGGCACGGCGGCGCGGCCGGGCACACAACCTGCGCGCAGGCGAGGTTACAGCCTGGGCAGGGTGGGCAGCTCGGCGCAGCCCGGCACCGCCCGAGGTATCCGAGGGCAAGGCTGGCGCCGCGGTCCGCCAGCCAGGGCCACATGGAGGGCGCGGGCGCGGCCCTCTCGAACTACAGCGCCAAAAAGGGTTAAGGAGTCGACATCCCGTCGAGCGGTCGCCCTCGAGAACACAACAAGAGATGTCAGGGACAGAACATACCCCCTCCCCCCACCCGGCCGGCGTCCAACCCGGAACCATGCCAACTCCATGAGGGCCCGCCCCCCCGCCATCCCTGTCAAAAAACAGCATGAAACGCACTCTGCCTCCACACTTGGAGCATGCGCGACCGCCCAGCGACGATTTCGTATTGGCATTTTACAGGGACGGCTGGGGAGCCAGCAGATCCCGCCTGCCTTCTGGGCGCAGGTGGTCGACCGACTTGTTTGACACATTTGTGGCTGCTGCCTTTTCGCCTTCTCGTTTTCGATGGGCGTTCGAAACCTGCAAATGGCTACAAAATTTGCCAAGATAGCTCCAAAGTCGGGCTCAAGAGGCTTGCAAGCCAGCCCCCAAGAATGCCCCAAGTTGGCGCCTAAAGGGCGCCAAGAGGCGGTTTTGAAGGCCCAAGAAGGGGAAGCCTCCTGGTGGATGGCCCAAGAAAGCTCCAAGCCGTGCCCACGAGGCCTCCGAGACGTCCCCAAGAGCGCCCCAAGGTGGCCCAAAAATGGCCTCAAGAGATTGTTTTGAAGGCCCCCGAAAGGGGGGGGCTAGACTCAAATAGGGGGGGGCCTGATCGCTTCCGACGAGCAGCGGCGTACGGTGGAGCCCCTATTGGTGCCCCTTGGCTGGCGCACCTGGCACGGCCAGAGCACGTGAAACACTGAGCGCACGTGGAGCACGTGCCGCACCTGGCGCGCCTGGCACGCTTGGGCCTCCAGGGTCTGGAACCTGTGGCGTCTGCGGCGTTCTTACGTGATCTGCTGACTCCCCTGCGTTACGTATGTGTTGGGAGGGCGGGTGGGAGTGAGCTAGACGGCTTGCGGGCGGGTGGGTAGCTTGATCACTGTTCCCTGTTACCCCCACCTGGCCGGCAGCCAACCTGGAACCATGCGGGCATCCCCCCCACCATCCTTATCAAAAAACAATGCAAAATACACATTACGGGGCCCACCCTGCCAACACCCTCCAAACCCCTGTCAAAAAACAACGAAGTGCACATTGCAGCAAAATCTGGACAGTGCGTTGGCGCCCTGTGAGCACGTTGTTGGTATTGTTGTTGACAGGGACGACGGGGCAGGACCACCATCCGTGTCAAAAACAATTCAAAGAACACGTTGCGACAACGTCGTGGGTATGTTGCTAGCCACCCGCGATCACGTTGTATTGTGTTTGTTGACAGGGACGGCGGTGGTGCCCGCATGATCGGACGGGGGGGGGGGCATCACGCTTTTTACAAGGATGGCACACCAACAGCATTTGGAGCCCGCGGCGAGCATCGCGCACCTGGCGTCCGCTTCGGTTCCCAATGGCTGTCCATCCAGTGGCGACCCCTGGCTATGCCGACACTCGGATGCCGCGGGTGGGAGTGAGCTAGACGGCTTGCGTGCGGAGAGGGTGTCTTGACCCCTCCCCCTAACCCCCCCCTCTGGACCTGGAGAGGGGATTTCGCGGGTCGTTTGAACGTCAAAGATGGCCTTGGCTAGAAGGTCAACATAGTCAACATCATCAATATTAGGAAGGTGTTGACCACATGTTGGCCCCCTGGAGGGTCAACGATAACTGGAACCTCCCCCTTCTTTGATCGATCTCCTCCAAGAGGTCTCGGCGCCCCAAGAGGTCTCGGCACCTCCCGAGGCGCCCCAAAAGGTCCGGGGGAGAAGGCCAAAACTACCGATGTTACTGAGGTTTGGGCCATATGTTGGCCTCCTGGGGGGGGCCAAATTTAGTCCGGCCCGTCCTTTGATCGATCCCCTCCAAGATAGCCCCAAAGGCCCCTGCTGCTCCCAAGGGTGCACCAAAACAGCCCCAAGAGGTATCCAGGACAGGCCCCCAAGAGGCCCCCAAGATGTCTCCAAGAGGCCCCCAAGAGACCCCAAGAGGCGGCCCCAAGAGGCCCCCCAAAGGCACCCGCGCCCCCAGAGGCCCCGGGGACTGCCAAGAAATCTCCAAGACACCCCAAGAGGACTCCAAGGTTCCTCCTCATCCTCCTCCTCCTCCTCATCCTCATCATCAGAACGCAGCCAATGGGGCCTTCGGTGGAGCTCCCTACGAGGCCACGAAGCGTGTGAGGGGTGTACCGAGATGGTTGACATGCGGAGGGCAGAGGCAGGGATGGGAGGAGGGAGGAGGGGGAGGAGGAGTGGAGAGGAGGAACGCGGGGCACTGTATTTTTAAAACGAAGACCCAACACCACAGGATGGTTGGGACAAACAATGGTAAATCCATGGTTTTTGCCTCTGGGGCCGTCTCCGCGGAACATCTCGCAGCCTTCTGGTGTCATTGTGACGCCACTCAAGGCCGTATGGGTAGAAAATGTTTAACATGTCATATTCAGAAAGCAGATGTTCATTCCCTGTAGCAGGCCATGACGTGCTTCGCGTCTTCATTCAGCTTTGTAGGTCCAGTTTTGCTATCGAAACACTTGGAGGAATCGGGCTGCAGGCGAGTCAGAGAGGATGGCATCTCCTCGTCTTCTTCCGGCTGGGCCTCCGCGAAGTGCTCACTGTGGAAGGCGAGCATGTCCGAGGAGGGCTCCCGAAAGACGTCCTGTCCCGTCCCGCGGCCCCCGCCTGCCCAAGGTGCCCCGCCCGCCCCCGGCTCTTCAATTGTGAACCTCCTGTGTGCGCATCCGGTTGGGAACCAAATCCCGTCCCCGGACACCGACTCCTGGTCGTGAAAAGAGCTGACGCTTGGCCAAGTACGTAAATAGGACGCGGTCTTCATGACCAAGCTGCGAAGGTACAGGGGCCTGGTCTGCCCTGGGTGGCGCACTACTGCCACCTGGATGCAGGAAGGAGGGAGCGTGGAGGGAGGGCGCAATGGCTAGGGTAGAAAGAATGCTCGAACACGAGCTTTCGGAGGTCTGCACGGAACGCTTGGGTCGGCGCCGACCCCTGTCCTGGGAGATTGTAGTGTTCCTTATTTCCGAGTGGTGGACGGTACCCGGCGGGAGGAGAGGGGGGTTGGGCCCCCAGGTGATGGTTACGCGTGGGCGGGGTGGGGCACGTCGGGGCGGGGCTGCGCTGCGATCGGCTCAGTGTGCGAGAGAGCACCAATACCAGGGAGACGTAAGACTCGGGTTCGGAGGCCTCGGGCTGACTCGGGCTGGCCGAACGTGGTCATCACGAACATGACAAGACCCAACCTGAAATTTGACGCGACCTCCCGCTGCTAACACCCCACGAAAACTGGACCGTCAAAATCCAGGACGCGCCCGCCGCGTCGGTAACCCCAAATTCCCGCGCACTCGAGCCCTACGTCTCTCCAACTACATATGAAGGGGACGGTCCGCCCCCCCCTCCTCGCACGATCGGTACCGTGACCCACCGGGGGTGGGAGGGCCTGGGTACCCACCGTTACGCGCTTGAGGATCAGAGAAAGTCTCTGGCGCGCGCAGCGCGCCAGGGGCCGCGCCGGACCCTCTGCACACGGCACAGACAAAAACTGTCGGAAGGTCCGCGCAGAACTGTTGGCATAAACTGTGACGTATCTCGATCGTCGGAGCCCCAGACGGGGAGGGCCAAGCTATCAAGCTAGATGCCGTCGCGCTGTATCTGACGTCCCACCTCTCGATGCCACCTCTTTCCATCGCGCTGGGCCCCTCTCTCTCCGCAGAGTCGGGTGTCGGGAAAGGCATTGACCCCGACAAGGGCATCCTCATCGAACACGGGGGGGGGGAGGAGCCCACACATCCGACGCCATGATTTCTGTTAGAACGTGGCCCCTCCGACGTCAGCATCTCATTCCGTACACTTCTTGGTCATCCTGAGTCACTTCCTGACGGTCCAGGGGGCCCAGTGAGGGCCCCAAGAGCAGGAACATGGGAAAGCGGCACCACCACCACCAGGGACCACCAGCGGCAGGAGCCAGAAGGGGCCAGCTCGGGGAGGTCTCGTGGACCTCCTCGCTGGAGATGGCCCCACTGATCCTGACCCCCGACGTCATGAATTAACTCTTCATGATGTGGACCCTCAACGGTCTGGACCCATTCCAGCGGGCCAGTTTTTCGTCCTGAACAATATTTGAAGATTTGTTGACGGTCCCGAGGGCCGGTGAAGGCCACCCGAGGCGGAAAATCCGCCGACCCTGTCGGCGTGTGGAAGAGGCTGTTCCACTTGACTCGTCGTCGTCGTGGTCGTGGTCGTTGTCGTCGTCAAGCGCGCCAGCCGCAGCGAAATTGATCAACGTTGTATGGAGTCGAAGGGAAGCCCCTTCCCTTTGATCCCTTCCCCGCCGGGGGGTAGTAGTAGTAGTAGTAGTAGTAGTAGTAGTAGTAGTAGTAGTAGTAGTAGTAGTAGTAGTAGTAGTAGTAGTAGTAGTAGTAGTAGTAGTAGTAGTAGTAGTAGTAGTAGTACTAGTAGTACTAGTAGTAGTAGTACTAGTAGTAGTAGTAGTAGTAGTAGTAGTAGTAGTAGTAGTAGTAGTAGTAGTAGTAGTAGTAATAGTAGTAGTAGTAGTTGGTTGTAGTAGTAATAGTAGTAGTAGTTCTAGTAGTAGTAATAATGGTAATCGTAGTAGTAGTAGTAGTAGTAGTAGCAGTAGTAGTAGTAGTAGTAGTAGTAGTAATAGTAGTAGTAGTAGTAGTAGTACGCGTAGTACGAGTAGGAGTAATAATAAAAATAATAGTAGTAGGAGTACTACTACGAATAGCAATATTATTGGTGTTATATGTTTAGTAGTAGTAGTCGTCGTCATACTCGCAATAGTAGTAGTAGGAGTAGTAGTAGTAGTAGTGGTGGTAGTAGTTAGTGTAACAGTAGTCGTAGTAGCAGTAGTAGTAGTAGTAGTAGTAGTAGTAGTCGTACTCATAGCAGTAGTAGTAGTAGCAGTAGTAGTAACAATAGTAGTAGCAGTAGTGAAAACAGTATTGGTACCAGCAGCAGCAGCAGTACCAGTAGAAGTAGTACTAGTAGTTGTTGTCGTAGCAGTCGTACTAACAGAAAGAGTAGCAAATAGTACTAGTACTAGTAGTAGTTCGCAGTAGTAGCAAGAGTAACAGTAGTATGAGTAGTAGTAGTAGCAGCAAAAGTAGTAGTATCGGCAATACGAACAGTGATAGAAGAAGAAGCAGCAGTAGTAGCACTAGTAGTAGCCGTAGAAGAATAAGTGGCCGTAGCAGTAGCAGTAGCGGTAGTAGTAGTGGTCTTGATAGAGGTAGTAGTAGTTGCGGTAGTAGTAATGATAATGGTAGTAGTAGAACGAATAGAAATAGTAGTGGTCGTAGTAATACTAATAGTGGCAGAAGTAGTAGTACTAGTCATGAAAGTAGTAGTCGTCGTAGTGGTCGTCCCCGTACTAGTAGTAAAAATAATGGTAGTAGTAGTAGTAGTAATAGTAGTAGTAGTAGTAGTAGTAGAAGAAGTAGTAGTAGTAGTAGTATCCGTAGTAGTAGCAGTAGTAGTAGTAGTAGTCGTCGTCGTCGTCGTCGCCGCCGTCGTCGTCGTCGTAGCAGTAACAGTAGTAAAAGGAGTTGTAGTAGTAGTAGTAGTAATAATAATAGTAGTAGTAGCAATAGTAGTAGTAGTAGTAGTAGCAGCAGCAGCAGCAGCAGCAGGAGTAGTAGTAGTAGTAGTAGTAGTAGTAGTAGTAGTAGTAGTAGAGGGGGGAAGGATGATAATGAGACGGTGGTCTGTGACAACAAAAACGTGTTCAGGAGGTGGGAGAAATGAAAAGGCGACGTCGGTTCGCCGCCAGCGCTTTCAATGTACGCCGCGCCGTTGCCATCGTCAATAAGAGCTTGTCAACGGCCTCCAAGCGAATATTCCTTCAAGCAATTCACAATTCATTGTTCTCTTCCCATTTCAGGGAAAGGTTGACAAGTGCGCCTTCTTAATTAATACCCCATCCATACAGCTCTTTCTGAATAAGCGCCCCAGAGAGGAGCAGCCAAAGCCGAACCCGACGCGGCGACGAGAAGATGCCCCATGGGTTCACGCAACAGCTTCTTAAGAGCAGGAGGCTGGCTGGAGGGAGGGGGAGGGGGGGGGGACGGGAGGAGGGGAGGACGAGGAGGAGGGAGGAGGGTGGGAAGAAGAAGAAGGGAGGGAAAGGATGGACAGGAGGAGAGATGGCTATGATGGGTGGGGTGTAAGAGGGAGGGATAAAGGGGGGAGGGAGAGATAGGATAAGGGAGAGGGCCCGAGGAAAGAATAGGAGGATGGATGGAAAGGAAAGGCATGAATAGGAGGAGGGGCGGACGGGAGCAGAGATGGATAAGTGGAGGGGTTCGTAGGATGAGGGATTCATCGGAGAGGCGGTATGGGGAAAAAATGCGAAGGAGGGTTAGGAGGATGAGGGAAGAAGAAGGAACATTGAATAGGAAGAGCGAAGCAGGGATAGCAGGAGCAGAAGGGATACGAGGAGCGAAGGGCAAGAGGAGGGAGAGGGGGATGGGATAGGATATAGGAGGGGACAGAAGGGAAAGGAGAGGAGTCAACGGGAGGAACAAACTCCAAGAAACCGGAAACGCACACACGGGTGGAATCCCGCGCGGAATACGTAAGAGTCACCCGCCAGCTGGTACACATTCGGAGGGCTGGCGCGTCCGGCCATGCATGAGCGGGCGCTGGAAAGACGACGCGCGGCCACATCGGTATGCCGCTCTCGCCCAGACCGCTGGCGGGAAGGCCGCCTCGCCGAGATCGACTCGAGGCCCTTGATGGAGCCCTTTTGTGAAGCCACGAGATGTGCGAGCGATGCAGGGAGATGGCCCCGGAAACTTCGGTTGAGCCCCCCTCGGTGGAACGCCTTCTCCTCCTCCTCTCCCTCCCTCTCCTCCTCCTCCTCCTCCTTCCCCTCCTCCCCCTCCCCCTGGCCATCTCCCCCTCCCCCCCCCCTCCTCCTCCCCCTCCTCCTCCTCCTCCTCCTCCTCCTCCTCCTCCTCCTCCTGCTCCTCCCCCTGCCAAAATGGCTAGAAGGAGATGGACAACCCCCTTACGTGGGGCAACGAAACGTGTGATGGGGCGTGCCGAAATCGACCACCCCAGGCCCTCGGAGGAGCCTCTTTTTCGAGCTACGAAATGCGTGAGGATTGTGAATCGATGGGCGGGAGGCCTTCGGGCGAACCCCCTCTCGTGGGGCAACGAAACGTGTGATGGGTGCGCCGAAAGCAACCCGATGATTCGGTGGAGCCCTTGTGCATCCACGGAATGGGTGAGGTTGTACTGAAAATTGCGTGAGGCTTACGCTGAAGCAAACTGTGGTGCCACGAAACGTGTGAGGGATGCGCTGGCATCGACCGAATGGAGACATCTTATGTGGGGCCACGAAACGTGTCAGGGGTGCGCCGAAATCGACCCGAAGCCCTCGGTGTAGCCCCTTTTGTCGTACCACGGGATGTATAATGTTGTGTTGGAAATGGCTTGAGGCGTTCGCTGAAACCACTTTTTGGGACCAAGAAACGTGTGAGGTGGGCGCCGAAATCGGCCCAAAACCCTCGGTGGAGGCCCTTTGTAGTACCACGGAATGTGTGACGTTGTGTTGAAAATTGCATGAGGCGTTCGCTGAAACCTCTTTTGGGACCACGAAACGTGTGAGGGGTGCGCCGAAATCGGTTCGAGGCCCTCGGCGGAGCCCATTCCGTGGGGGCGCGAAAAATTTGAGGGTCGAAAAAAACTGGTCCTGAGGCCTTCGGTGGAGCCACTGTGGGGCCACGAGACGTGTCAGGAGTGCGCCGAAATCGGCTCGAAAACATCGGTGGATCCCCCTTTTGTGGGGCCACGAAACCACTGCGGGTTACTAGAAATTGGCCCGAAGCCTTCGGTCGAGCCCCCTGTGGGGCCACGAAGCATATGAGGGTACGCCGAACACATGAGCATATGAGGTGTACCCCTCGTTGCTCGGTTGCTCTGTTGCTGGGGGGGCTCTAATTAGGTTGTCTGTTGCGTCGTTCCTCTGTCGTCTGTTGCTCTGTTGCTGAGGGGGTGCTTTGTGGCTCTGTTGCTCTGTTGCTGGGTGGGAGGCTCTGTTGCGCTGTTGCGCTGTTGTTGTGTTGCTGTGTTGCTCGGGGGGGCTCAGCCACCGGGCACCAGTGAGTGTTTTCGTCAACAAGGACAACACCAACAGCAATAACACCGACAACAGCAACAACAGCCACAACAACAACAACAACAACAGCCGACTGTTCGCTCTTATCTGCTCGAGTGTCATTCAACGTGTATTTCCCAAACCCTTGATACCCGCCCTCTTCGTCTTCGATCGTGCCCCTTTTGGGGGGTATATATTTTTTCCTTGCAGGCCGGGCCCCGGCAAGCGGCGGGGCGGCCGCGGACCGTCGGCCTGGCCAGCGGCAGCGCTGATCGGCGGCAACCCGACCCCAAGAGGGACGGACACGGGACCGACCACGACGCCCACGACGACGACGACGACGACGATGACGACGACGGCGACGACGGCGACGACGACGACGATGACGACGACGAGCGAAAGCGAGAGCGAGAGCGACAGCGGGGCCACGAAGGGCAGGAAGGGGGCCACGAAGGGCGACAGCGGGGCCACAAATAGCATGCGTATGGGGCCACGAAGGGCGCGAACGAGCCGGGGCCACGAAGGGCAGATAATGCGGGGCCACAGAAAGCAAGGACGGGGCCACTAAGGGTAGCAACGGGGCAACGTAGGACAGCGAGGCGGCCACAAAGGGCAACAGCGGGGCCACGAAGGGCATGCATGCATATAGGGCCACAACGGGCGCGAACGAGCGGGGGTCACGAAGAGCATACGTCTGCTGGGCCGCAGAGGGCAAGGACGGGCCACTGAGGACAGCACCGAGGCCACGAAGGGCAGCAAGGGGGCCACGAAGGGCGACAGCGAGGCCACGAAGCGCATGCATATGGGGCCACGACGGGCACGAACGAGCGGGGGCCACGAAGCGCATAGACACATGGGGCCACGAAGGGCAGCGAGGGGGCCACGAAGGGCTGCAACGGGGCCACGAAGAGCAGCGAGGGGGCCACGAAGGGCTGCAACGGGGCCACGAAGGGCAGCAAGGGGGCCACGAAGGGCTGCAACGGGGCCACGAAGGGCAGCGAGGGGGCCACGAAGGGTTGCAACGGGTCCACGACGGGCAGCGAGGGGGCCACGAAGGGCTGCAACGGGGCCACGAAGGGCAGCGAGGGGGCCACGAAGGATTGCAACGGGTCCACGACGGGCAGCGAGGGGGCCACGAAGGGCTGCAACGGGGCCACGAAGGGGAGCGAGATCCCGATTCCTACGAGGCTGTGAGGGAGTCCAGCGCGACCCCTGGGTGCCTGAGTGTCGGGAGCGCGGCGCTTGAGCAAATTGCAGGGAATTCGAAAAGCAAGTCTCCAGCGAGAGCGCGACTCCAGAAAGCCGAAAGAGCGATTCCTCAACAGATTGTAAGGAAGTCCCAAGCAAGAGCGCGATTCCCATAAAATGTGTGGAAGTCTCAGGCAGGAGCGGGAGTCCTGGCTAAATTATGAGGAAGTCTCAGGCGGGAGCCTTTGTTGGAATCCGGGGGCCAACCACGCACTTTGAGCCGAGTGAATTTCCCTGGTAAAAAACGAAGTGCGAGCACTGGGGGAAGCACTTCAATTGAAAAAAAGGTCACCCGAAAGGGGATCAACAATAATTATTCTTCAGTCGTGAGAATCCAAAGACGACGACAACAACAACAGCAACAACAACCACAACCACAACCATAACCACAACCACAACCACGACCACCACCACAACAAGAACAACAACAGCTGCAACAACAACAACCATGTTAAGACTGATTGTTCTTATCCGATCATGTGCCACGCAACGCGTATATCCCAAACACTCGATACCCGCCCTCTTTGTCTTCGACCATACCCCCTCGGGCCCACGCACATGTAGCGCAGCCCCTAAAACAGGGGAAGGGGGGCGGATGGGGGAAGAAAAGGATGGACCACGAGAAAGGCCCTCTCGGAGCAAATCGCGAGGAAGCATCGAGCGGGAGCCCTTTGTCATCGCGGCTGCGCCCCAACTAATTTGACTGAGTTGCCAGGAGTTATCCAGCGAGAGCGCTGTTCCTAAATTCGGGAACCTCTCTGGCCAAGGCCTCCCGGAGTAAATCGCGAAGAAATATCGAACGGGAGCCTTGTCGTTGCGGTTGGGAATCCGCGAACTTGATTCAATTGCGAAGAATGCTCATGCGAGAGCGCCGTTCCTGGGGCCTCTGCGGGCTGGGGCCTCTGTGGGCGCGCTTGGGGCCTCTGTGGCTGCGTTGGGTGGCCTCAGTGAGCTGTGGGCTGGGGCCTCGGTGGGCGCGCTTGGGGCCTCCGTGGGCTGGGGCCTCTGTGGGCTGCGTCGGGGGCCTCAGTGGGCAGCGCGGCGGGGCCTCTGTGGGCGCGCGTGAGGCCTCTGCGGGCTAAGACCTCTGTGGGCGCGCTTGGGGCTCCTGTGGGCTGCGTCGGGGGCCTCAGTGGGCAGCGCGGCGGGGCCTCTGTGGGCGCGCTTGGGGCCTCTGCGGGCTGTTTCCTATATGGGCGCGCTCGGGGCCTCTGTGGGCTGCGTCGGGGGCCTCAGTGGGCAGCGCGCCGGGACCTCTGTGGGCTGCGTCCGAGAGCATCAGTGGGCAGCGTGCTGTGGCCCCTGTGGGCGCGCTTGGAGCTTTCGGGGGCTGTGTCAGGTCGTTTAGGAGTACTACAATGGGTGTCGAGCGAGAGCCCCTGTCGTCACAGGTGGGCCTCTGACGCCGCTGCTGGATTGCAGTCTCGGGCCACGGGCTCTCGAAGTACAGCTTGAGGAAGTAACGAACAAGAGCCCTTGTCGTCGCGGCTTGGCTCACACCAAATTGACTGAATGACCAGGGCGTCTCGTGCGAGAGCGCCACTCTTGATTTCGGGGGCCTCTCTGGCAAGGGCCTGTGCGAATACATCTTGAAGACGTATCGAACGCGAGCCCTTGTCGTCGATTTGGGCCTCCACCAATTTGACTGAATCAGGAGAAAGTCTCGAGCGAAAGCGCCGTTCCTGAGTTCGGGGGCCTTCCTGGCCAGGGGCTCTCGGAGTGAATCTGAAGGAAAGATCGAGCGGGAGCCCTTGTCTTCGTGGCTGGGCCGCCAAGTTAATTGAATTGGGAAGAAGTCTCGAGCGAGAGCGCCGTTCCTGAGTTCGGGGGCCTCGTTGGCCAGGGTGTCTCGACGTAAATTGTGAGGAAGTATCGAGCGGGAGCCGTTGTCGTCGTAGCTGGGCCTCCAAGGGCCCACTGTTAGGCTCAAGCCAACGCTCGAGCGGGAGCCTCGTTTTCAGAGAAAATGTAGCCAGCCTCGAGGCGAGAGCGCCCGAAACCGCTTCCGGAGATCAGCAATCATTATTTTCCAGAAATGAGTCTTCAAAACCAGCAACAACAGCAACAGCAACAGCAACAGCAACACCAGCACCATCACCAGCACCAGCACCAGCACCACCACCAACAACGACAACAACAACAACAACAACAACAGCAGCAGCAGCAGCAGCAGCAACAACAACAACAACAACAACAACAACAACAACAACGACAACAACAACAACAACAACAACAACAACAACATCAACATCAACATCAACAACAACAACAGCAACAACAACAACAACAACACAACAACGACAACAACAACAACACCAACAACAACAACAACAACAACAGCAACAACAAGAACAACAACAACAACAACAACAACAACAACAACAGCAACAACAACAACAACAACAACAACAACAACAACAACAGCAGCTGCAGCAGAAGCAACTGCAACAGCCGCAGCACCACGAACAACGACAACAACAACAGCAACAGCAACAGCAGCAACAACTACAGCAATAACAACCTCACACACACACACACACACACACACACGCGCGCACGCACACGCGCACGCACACGCACACGCACACGCACACATACACACACACACATGCATACACACACACACACACGCACGCACACAAACAAACACGCTAACATACAGACAACAAACCAACAAAAACACGTCCGTCATGATGTTCCGCGGCGCCAGCCTACTTGCGGGGATCAGGCTGGGTATATTGAGGGAAAGTCCACACAAACCGATGCAGACCCACATGATCTGAACGATATCTGGGACCGCCAGCGAAATCCGGAGCAAATGCTGGACCTTCCAGCCCGAGTCGACGGGCAGCAGATGTCGTTAAGCCCTTAACGAGAGACGGTGCAAGCAGGGAGTGCCATGCGCGGCGGCATCTCCGAGCTGTCCTCCGGCTGGGCCTCCGAGAAATGCTCGCTGTGGAAGGCAAGCATATCCGCGGCCGGCTCCCGCCAGGCGTCCTGGCTCCCCTCCTGGTGCCTCGTCATGGTTCTTCCCTCCTCCACACTCCTTCCTCATTCTCCTCCTCCCTCCCTCCCTCCCTCCCTCCCGCGCTCCCTCCTCTCCTCTCCTCTCCTCTCTCCTCTCCTCTCCTCTCCTCCCCTCCCTCCATCCCTCCCTACCTTCCTCCCTCCCGCCCTCCCTCTGCGGACCGCGTGTCCGCGCCGACACCGCCGCGCCCGCGCGCGGGCCCGCGCGCCGCCCGCCTGGGGGGGCCGCTGCCGGCGCCCCGGCGGCCGCCGCCGCCGTCCGCGCGGGACGTGGCCGAGTCGCCGGCCGACTCGGCCAACCCGCGCTCGGGCGGGAGCGCCCCGCGCCGCCGCGCGCCCGGGCCGCTGCCGGCGCCCCGGCGGCCGCCGCCGCCGCCCGCGCGGGAAATGGCCGAGTCGCCGCCCGAATCGGCCAACCCGCGCTCGGGCGAAAGCCGCCCGCACCGCCGGCCGCGCCAGCCGCCGGCAGGCGGCCGGGCAGCGGCAGCACCAGGCCTCCGGCAGCGCCAGCAGCCGCGGCCGCGGGCGCTGCGGGCGCTGCGGGCGCAGGGGGTGCGACTTCTGAGGGCTGAATCCTCCTCCCCCTGGCCGCCTGCACCCGCGGCCACCTGCGCCCGCCTCAGTATCCTCCTCC